GTGTACTTGACATATTACTGATAATTTTTAGTGCTGATGCATTAGATGAGCAATAGCGTAAACAAAGCGTTCTGCTATCAAGGTGCTACTTTATTTTCGAATTTGCAATAAATAAGCCAATTAACACACCCACCATCGCCATATGCTGCTAATTTCATTTAAAAAAATTTAAATATGCGTGCAGGTACTTACCTCAAATGCTGGATTTGTGGCATTTTGATCTGTCATCGCCACAATGGCTACAGAAAGATTTACGCGCAGCGCATAAGCCACTGCCAAGCCACAAAAGGCGAGGAAACATTGTAGATGACGTATACCAAACCGTGGACCTAATCAACAAAATTGATGAGCAGCTTGTAATTAATGCTATCTCTAACAATTAATATGTGTATATTTCACTTACCTTGTCGTGCAGTATCAATTTGCTGATAGCCACCATTGAAACAGTCACACCATAAAACCATTTTATTGCCTACCTACGACTTACACTTGCATTTATGTACACGATACATACGCCCACACAAATATTTTCTACAATAATTTAACTATTGTCGGCAGCAACTCGTATGGTGATCGGAATTCTTTTGTTACTTTGTTATCTTAGCGAAACTCAATACTCCATTCTATAAAAACTTTAAAGAATTTCTCGAGTTTGCACTTTTCCACCCAATCGCAGCAGTACACTCCACATCACTTTTGTAAATGATGAGTTTTGTATACGTTTCCAAATACGTCAACACAGAACACACAAAAACAATATAACAATAAGCGAATTGAAATCTCTGTCTATTAATGGAATGAAGGAATAGGGCAAATAAACAAAGCGAATTGGTAAACAGCTGATAACTGTAGGCGCTACCACACCCGCCAAAAATAGTATTACCCATTTGTAATTTATCGATATTTCGGCGAAGTACTTTGTAGCAGCAACCGAGTTAATTAGAATACAAAAAAATTTTAAATGTGTGAGACTCGTAAGAAAGAAAAGATATATAAGTAAACTTAGTTTAATCCATTAATTATTCGTAGAATTAGTAGGGTCTCATTGTGTATAATGCGGAAAAAAAACCGTATTATTATTATTTTTTTTTTTTAATTAGGGATACATATGTTTTTATAGTTTTCACAGCATATTTTTGAATACAAATTTTTTTTTTTTTTTTTTTTTTTTGTAAAGCCCGAAGAAGAATATTTTCCCAAAATCAAGATATTTTGCAACTTTTCCGGCGAGTAGCATGAAAAAATCATAACTAGTTACAAGCAGTGATGCCGATTGTTGGCGCACTTTTGGAAATATTTAATTACCAAGGTGTTAAAATTTTCTATGATTAAGTTAAACTACATATACATGCACATACTAAAAACTCTTTAAAATATATTTTATATTAAAATACGAAAATTTGTATTAGTTATTTATAGATAAATTTCGTAAAAAAATTCCAGATTATAATAATCAAATGTGACCGATTGGCATTACTGCCGCTATTGCGAGCAACGATTGAATACTGTGGCAGCACAGCCGAATGGCGGAAATTGGTAAGTGTCAATTCGGATATTGTCGTGTGTGAGCGTTTGTGAATAATTGTGTGTTAAATTTCAATTTATTTCTGATTCTTGATGTAAGTGGGTTATAGTTAAAGTGATATTTAAGTGAAATTCAATATTCGTATAATGAAGAAGTGTATCTTTGGGAGCATAGAGAAGCTAATTGCCTTTGTGTAATGTGTATACAATAGTGAGAGTCGCATACAAATTTGGCTACCTCAGTATCACGCAAAAGAACAAATAGTGAAAAAGCTTAAGTAGCCGAGTAAAGAAAGTATTTGTGTAATTTTATGTGTAAGTCCATAAAATTACAAAAGGTGTAAATGAAATTTATGAAAATTTTGCTGCAAAAATGGTTGCTCAAGCTTTGTGGCCTGCGTGTGCTTCTGCATTCTTTTTCATCCGTTATTTGTAAGTTTCAAATTTGTTTCGTTGCCGCAATTTAAAAGGTAAGTTTGCATTAATGTGTTCTCAAGCAAATTAAATGACATTCGAAAAGCCATAAATAATATAGTCCAAAACTGTCGTGCGTTAGAGGAGCTGGCTGCTAGTTTTTTTAATGATATATTAGCTCTAATAAAATTGATGAAAATGTAAGTAAAAGTATATTATATAGTATTTGAGATGTCTAAAAAATATGTAATTTCTATTATGTACCAATTTTTTCTCACAATTTGACATCCATAGGAAACTATAGTTTACAGTCGAAAGAAATCTGAATTTTTGAACTTCAGTGCCTCTAAAACTATAGTTCGCAGGTGCTCTTTTTGTGACAAATTTATAAGCAAAAATTTAGTCCGCAGATATTTTTTTTTTATAAAAAGAAAATTATCAAAAATATTTATATGGCAGCCGGCGAATTAAGACCTTTACACTAGCTTTGCTCTGATTTCAAGTGAAGTAATGCGTTTTAAGAAAGTGCACATCTTTAACTAAGCGGCTATTAAAATATCTTAATCTTTAGCTATGCACTATAGTGATCCGAATTCGTACAAATTGGCATGTCAATTCAACTGATCTCGTCACGCTGATCAGTTATATAGGGGAAGGTGGGGAATGTTGGGCATAGTTTTGATTTCGGTTAAAAAGTCACATAAAAGTTATTTTTTGTGAAAATTCCTAAGCATGGATTTGTAGTGCGAGTCGTAACCTTCCTTTTTTGACGATTCTCGTGCTTCGGCATCTTTTTCTTGCAAATCGTGCAAAAATCGAAGTCCTCTTCGATGTCG